GCCACACACAGATCGCTCCCAGACCCTGAGGGCCACTCGGTGACCATGAAATGCTGCTTGCCCCATGAGGCAGGAAACCAGCTGCGTGCCACGGTCAAGTTCATTAACTTGCTTTCCTCATCTGTGAAGCGGGAACAGCAGTGTCCACACTCATCCGTAGACATCACCCGGCAGAGGTCACACGAGCTCACAGGTCCACTCTACCCCAAGCCCCTGCCACCATCTCCTCCTCTGGCCTCTAGAACACCTGCCCCTCCGCCACCCCCTTCTCTGCTGGCTCCCCTGCTGATTCTGCTTCCTGTTCCTGGCCGCTCCTTGTCTGCGCCCAATCTGTGGACTCATCTAACTTCACGGCTAAAGGACATCCATGCGCTGAGGACACCAAAGCAACTCCCTTGGGCCCAACCCTGGCCTGGGCTCTGGGCTGGGACTGCTGGCCAGCCCAGCGGAGTCCACTGTGTGCCTTCTGTTGCCCGGGCTGGTCTAGACCCCCTGGATTCAAGCCATCCTCCCGCCTTGGTCTCCTGAGTAGCTGGGACTATAGGCACACACCTCGCCATGCCCGGCTTCACTGTCGTCGTCTGTCTTTATCAAGCACTCCCTGACAACAACCAAGTGGGCTGGCTGCAGTTCAGGTAAGAAGTACACAGTCTCATGGCTTAACAGGAAGCAAGAACTGATGGTGAAACCGACACACCCGGAGAGACCTTGGCTTGGAGTCTGCCGCTACTAGAACCCAAATGCACACCTGGGGTCTCTGGATTCAGGAAATGTTCAGTTCCCTGACACAGGACGTGAACAGGACTGAGACAGCAGACCTCACAGCTGTCCGTATGCCCAGTGTAGCTCCAGGCTTGGGCAGCCCACTGACCACACTCCTCAGCACTCCTGCAGGACTGGCAGGGAGGCACAGGAAGGGACAAGGCAGGAGGACCCACTGGGTAGACATGCACCAGTGAGAAGAGGGAGGGGGCCGTTGCCTTGCTAGACTCTGGTGTGGCCATGGGCTCTCTGAGCTAGGGCTGTCGCCATGCTTCCTGGCTTTGGCCTCCTCCCCACCTTGGGAAGGTGAACCTTTTCTTTCTCTCTCTAATTTACTTTTAATATAAACTAATGCCGGGCTCGGTGGCTCAGCCTGTAACCCCGCGCCTTGGGGAGGCTGAGGTGAGTGGATTGCCTGAGCCTGCGGATTCGAGACCCGCCTGGGCAGCGAGACCTCGTCTCTACAATAAATAAAAAAAATCAGCTGGGTGTGGTAGTGCATGCCTGTAATTCCGGCTACTTGGAAGGCTGAGGTGGAAGGATCCCCAGAGCCCAGCAGGTTGAGGCTGCGGTGGCCGGGAGCGGCCACTGCACTCCAGTCTGGGCGACAGAATAAGATCCAACTCAAAATAAATAAATAAATAAATAAATAAACAAAAATAAACTATATTTTCTAATCTAAAAAAGGGGGGGAGGATAGAGGTGGCTGCAGAGAGGTGCACCCCTCAGAGCTCAGACAGTCTCTGAAACAGAAGTCAGCGCAGAGGCCTAACCGCGTGCTCAGAGACCACTCATCAGATATGCACAGCATCAGTGCAGAAAGGAAGTCCAAAATTCACATGCACTTGGACTCAAATTCCTAAATCACAGGGCTTTAGAAAAGTCAGCAGTCCAGTTCTCAAGGACCGAACTGGGATGTCTGGATGGGTGCATGAATAACCGTCCTCCCGCTACCAGCCACCAGGCTCTGTGTCTGCTCCAGCAGCAGATCCCGGGGCAGCCATCCTCACAGGGTCAGCCAGGGTTCCGGACAGAAATACAGTTAAAACGAAGCACACAGCAGGCTGCACTTTGACCTGCTTCTGGTAACCTTGTTAGCCGCACAGCACTAGATGCAGGCTGTCTGCAGCCCATGTTCCTACAGACAGAATCTCTGACATTAGAATCAGAAGGCTTCGTTCAAGAATTGCTTAAGATGTTTATCAGGGTCAGGTGCGGTGGCTCAAGCCTGTAATCCCAGAACTTTGGGAGGCAGAGGTGAGAGGAATACCTGAGCCCAGGGGCTCAAGACCAGCCTGGGCAACTTGGCGAGAACTCGTCTCCACAATAAATCAAGACAACTTAGCTGGCCGTGGTGGCACACGCCTGTAGTTCCAGCTACTTGGAAGGCTGAGGCGGCAGGATCGCCAGAGCCCAGGAGGTTGAAGCTGCGGTGGCTGTGAGCATGCCACTGCACTCCAGTCTGAGCGACAGATTGACACTCCGACTCAAAAAAAAAAGGTTTTTCAGACCACCACAGAGGAAGGGGACCAGCACGAGAACACAATCTCCTCCTCTCCCTCTCCCGTGACTTCACTCTGCACTCAGTTGATGAACCCTGTGCCTCAGCCCACTCCAAACCTCTTTTTTTATTAGTTGGAGTCTCACTCTGTCGCCCAGACTGGAGTGCAGTGGCCACTCCCGGCCACCACAGCCTCGACCCACTGGGCTCCGGCAATCCTTCCGCCTCAGCCTTCCAAGTAGCTGGAACTACAGGCGCGCGCTACCACACCTGACTAATTTTTTATTTATTGTAGAGATGAGGTCTCGCCAAGTTGTCCAGGTGGGTCTCAAGCCCGCAGGCTCAGGGAATCCACTCACCTCGGCCTCCCAAAGCGCGGGATTACAGGCTGAGCCACCGAGCCCAGCCCACTCCAAACCTCTTAAAATCGCTAGCCCTGCACTCCTTGGGGAGACAGATTGGAGGCATCATCCCACCCCTCGTTGGCAGCCCGAAGATTAAACTTCCTTCCCTGTGGCAGCCCGGCGTCTCCATGTGCTGACCTGCACACGACCAGCCATCGCTTTGCCACTGGGAACACCAGTGGGCTTCTGGCCCCGACACCAGTAGAGACCCAGAAAGCCTTGGCCGGGCTATGCTGGGCGGAGGCTGCGGGCAGTGCCTGCCTGGCTGTGGGGCTCCGGGAACTCCAGGTGTGTGCAGCGAAGCCATCTGCCGCTTCCGCTCACGCCTGCCACACACAGTCTTCTGCAGGAGGGTGGAGACTGAAAAGTTTACCTCTCAGCTGGGCACAGTGGCTCACGCCTATAATTCCAGCACTTTGGGAGGCCAAGGTGAGAGCATTCCCCGAGCCCAAGGGTGCGACACTAGCTTGGGCAACTTGATGAGACCTTATCTCTACAATAAAATTTTTAAAAAATTAGCCAGGTGTGGTGGAGCGTGCCTGTGGCTCCAGCTACTTGGAAGGTTGAGGCAGAAGGATCACATGAGCACAGCAGGTCGGCACTGGGGTGGCCGCTGAGTGTGCCGCTGCACTCCAGCCTCGGCCACAGCGTGAGACTCTGACTCAAAAAAACCAAAAAAATCCGCTTCTCCACTCTGCGTGGGTCAAGGACCCAGGGCAAGCCCTGACCTCTGCTGGGTGAGACTCGCCGCCTCCTCTGAGCGTCCACGGGCTCATGTGTGAGACGGGGATGACGACAGCAGCCACTTCCACGGACCGCCGTGGGGAGGACAGGCTCGGCGTCTGGCCTCAGCAGAGGCAGCCTGAATGCTGGTGATGCTGGGACACCACGCGTGTCCAAGTGGCCCTAGGCCAAGACGAATTTCACATCCTCGTTCACCCCACCAGCTGAGGACTCAGAGCCCAGCAGATCCACCTAAGCCCTGTCCCTGCCTTCTCCCTACCCTCAAGCCCTGGCAGTGCCGAGGGCCAATGCCACGCTACATTTTGGGTCATCTTTCCAGATTGGATCTATCTGCCAAGATTTTCAAATACATCTCAAGGTGACAAACGATTTGTTGTTGCTGATGCTGTAGAGACAGGGTCCTTCTCTGTTGCCCAGGCTGGTGTGCAGGGGCCCAACCAAAGTTCACTGCAGCCTCAAACTCCTAGGCTCAAGGGAGCCTCCTGCCTCAGTCTCCCAAGCAACTGGAACTACAGGCACGCCACCATGCCCAGTAGCTTTTCTTTAAAGCTTTTTGTAAAGGGAAGGTCCTGCTATGATGCCATGATGCTCAGACTCCTATCCTCAAGCGAGCCTCCTGCTTCCACCTCCCACGTTGCTGGGATTACAAGCGTGAGCCGTTGTGCACAGCCTCAAGTTAACAAATTCTTATTGTTTAGATACTGAGACCTCGCGAGCACACCCTTCACTTCGCCGCCTAATTCAGTAGCTCCATCTCACGCTTGGCTCCGGAAGCGCTAAGGGGCCCTGACACGGCCCGGAGTGTGGTCTCGCCTCCGCCCTCTCTGAGAGGGGCCCTGCCACGTGTTCCAACCCCCATCGCCGCCAGGAGCCTGTGGTCCCCTCCTGAGCTGACCCTCCGTCTCCTCCAACCAGTCCGCCCCGGCTCCCCCTCTCCGGGGCGAAGTCCTCCAGCACCTCCCTCACCCGCCCCTTCTCCCCCCTCCCTCAGCCTCCCACCAGGCCCCGGACCTCGGAACCAACTGGGTTTCTGGCGCATTTCCTCTGGGGCTCCTGCACATGCAGCACACTGTTCCAGAAAGCCCTGGCCCCGCATCCCTTGCCTAACTCCGACACATCAGTCAGGGCCAGGTGCGGTGGCTCACGCCCGTCGTCCCAGCACTTTGGGAGGTGAGGTGAGAGGACTGCCTGAGGCCACGGGTGAGTCAGAAAGGCCTGGGTTCGAGTCCTGCCTCCTCCACCTACCAGCTCTGCTGCATGGGGACAGCCACACCCCCTCGCAGGACTGTGAGAAGGACTACCCAGGACTGCGCACAAGAGCCTCGCGTGCAGCAACCACTCAGCTAAAGGAATAGCGATGACCACACTGAGCTCAGCTCTTGGCCTCCTGCACCCCGGGGCTCTGCCAGATGGCCCACTGCACGTCCCCAGAGCCTCCCTGCCCCCTCAGTGGCACGCTGGAGGCTGCGCCCCACCTCTGAGCACCACCGCCAGGTAGGCCTCGGCAGGTCTGCAGCCGCTTCCCTCTGCCAGCCTCTAGGGGCTCCCTGAGAGCCAGCAGAGGCCACGGAGGCACCACAGGCCCTCACCTGAGGTCCTTCAGCCGCTTGCAGTGCTTCAGCATGTCCAAGAGGGCGGGCATGTAGACCACCTTCCCCATCATGCCCAGGTTGGCCAGTGAGAGGGACTGGAGCTGCTGGCACTGCAGGCCGATGCTGACCAGCCCAGAGCCCGACAGCATGCCGGGCAGCTGGGCCAGTGTCAGGTGCCGCAGGAAGGCCAGCTGGCTGATGGCAGCCACCTCCGAGTCCCCAACGTTCTGTGCCCGGCTGCAGGGCGGGAGCATGTTGCGGATGGCGGGCTCGTTGCGCGGCATGGCGGAGAAGAAGCTGGAGCCGATCAGCTCGAGGTGCTCCAGGAAGGGCAGGTTCTTCAGCAGAGACCAGAACACAGAGGAAGGCTGGGGGCCCGCCTGGCCCGAGAAGGGGCTGGGACAGGACTGCACGCCGATGCGCACCTTCTTGCCAAAGCCGCAGGGCACAGCGTGCGTCACAGGCTGGGGGGGCGCACGGTCGGCCCGCGGCGCCACGTTGGCGACAGAGCAGACGGGCAGGGAGAGGGAGCGCAGGTGGCTCAGGCGGGCCAGAAGCTGGCAGAGGTGCCGGCCCAGGCCTTCGGGGCTGTGGTGGTGGGCGACCGAGAGGTTGAGGTGCCGCAGGTTGCAGCAGGACACCACCAGCGTCTCCAGGATGCTGCTGTCGATGTCGTCCTCCGCCTTGTGGAGCAGCGTGTCCGGGGACAGGCAGTGCGTGCAGCCGCTGAGGTTCAGGCTGGCCAGGCTGTGCAGGTCCTTGCCGCCCTGCAGGACCTGCTGGACCAGGTGGCCGCCCGACAGCGTGCAACGGCTGAAGCTGAAGTAGAACGGGTTGTTGAACTTCAGGTGCTGGAGCAGGGACGAGCCGTTCAGCCAGGACCGGGGCAACTGCAGCGCGTCCAGCGCCACGTTGCGGGCCATGGAGTCCAGCAGGTTCTTGGTCGCCCCGCTCTCGGCAAAGCTGCCAGGCACAGAGATGAGGAAGGCGTGCAGGTTCTCGGGCGTGCGGTCGCTGAGCACGGCCAGGTAGAGCCGCACCACCTCCTGGTTGATGTAGCCCGGGGCCAGGCGCGCGTAGAAGATGCGCAGGTTCTGGTAGTGCGGCACGTTGCTCTGGCCCACCATGAGCTGGCCCGAGAGGATGGCGCCCTCACGCGTGCGGTCCAGGATCTCGAAGTAGAGCAGCAGCTTCTCCAGGCTGGTGCAGCAGGGCACCACCCCGTAGGAGGGTGTGAACAGCGTCTGTTTGAGCTCCCGCACGCGGCTCAGCGTGGCCTTGCACTCGCTGCTCAGGTGGCTGGCGTCGAAGCCAGGGCTCACGTCGATGGCCAGTGAGCGCAGCTGCTGCAGGGCCGAGAGCATCTTGGAGAGGCGCAGGGAGGTGAGGTGGCAGCCCGAGAGGTTGACCTTCACCAGGCTGCGGCAGCGGGCCACGTGCTCCACGGCAGAGCCCGGCAGCCAGTAGCAGCCGGCCATGCTCAGCTGCTGGATCTCGTGCCCGACCTCCTTCACCAGCTGCCTCACCTTGTCCTCGCTGGCCTGCAGGACAGGGACGGGCGAGAGGAAGGAGAGGGCTGAAAGCACCAGGCGTCCCCAGCCGTCAGCACACCAGAGCCACGGGGAGCCCCGTGGAGGAGCCCCCCACGGAAGCGGCCCTCCCGTCCCTCCCACTGGCCTTGGGCCAGCTGTCAAGAGTCCCCAACCACACGGGAACCTGAGCGGTGCAGCTGTGGCAGAAAACGCAGGGGCTCCTCAGAAAGCTAAACCCAAATCTACCACTCACGTGAGCAAGGCCACCCCAGGGACACACCCAAAGGAATGGAGAGTCGCTCCCAGATGCCCGTGAGCCACCCACTGTGGCACTCTCCAGAAGCACCGGAGGGGACAGAGCCCACGTGTCCAGCAACAGACAAATGGGCAGACACACCATGGTCTACCCACACGATGAGTATGATTCAGCCACAGAAAGGAATGTGGGCCTGCCACACGCGGCCACACAGAGAAACCTCAGACACGCAGGTTCAGGGGATGAAGTCAGACAAAGGAGGGCAAACAATGCACAATTCCAGGGACACGAAATATCTAGAACAGGCACATTCACAGAGGGGGCTGTGGGGAGAGGGAAAGGAGAAAGGGACACTCCACTTAGGGTGGTGAGAATGTTCTGGAGATGAATGGTAGCGACAGCTGCTCAACTGTGTGAATGTGCTTAATGCCACCAAATTATGCACTTAAAAATGGTGAAGATGGAAAGTTTTATGTTGTTTAATCACAATACTAAAAATTGTCAAAATGGCAAAGGTTGCCCAGCTTCTACAAAAAAATGTTTTTAAATAGTTGGGTATGGACCAGGCGCTGTGGCTCATGTCTGTAATTCCAGCAATTTGGGAGGGCGAGGCAAGAGGATTGCCTGAACCCAAGGGTTTCAGACCAGCCTGGGTAACATGATGAGACCTCATCTTTACAATAAATCAAAAATGAGCTGGGCGTGGTAGCGTGCACCTGTAGTTCCAGCTACTTGGAAGGTTGAGGCAGAAGGATTGCTGGAGCCCAGTAGGTCGAGGCTGCAGTGGCCAGGAGCGGCCACTGCACTCCAGTCTGGGTGACAGAGTGAGACTCCAACTCAAAAAAAAGAAAGAAAGAAAGAAAGAAATGGAAGCCGGGCCCAGTGGCTCAGTCTGTAATCCCACGCCTTTGGGAGGCTGAGGTGAGTGGATTGCCTGAGCCCACGGGTTCGACACCCGCCCGGGCAACTTGGTGAGACCGCATCGCTGCAATAAATCAAAAATTAGCTGGGCGTGGTAGCGCGCGCCTGTAGTTCCAGCTACTCGGAAGGCTGAGGTGGAAGGATTGCCGGAGCCCAGCAGGTCGAGCTTGCGGTGGCCAGGAGCGGCCATTGCCCTCCAGCCTGGGCAACAGAGTGAGACTCCAACTCAAAAAAAAAAGCTGACCTCAGGCCCCAGCCCTGCCTCACCACGCTGCCCCACTGCCCTGAGCCCTTCGCCAGGCCAGCCCCTTTCCACGCCACCTTCCCTGCACGGGGGCTGCAACGACTCCCACCTGGGGCCCTGAAGGCAGAGTCGCCCTTCCAGCACCCCAAGAGGAGGAAGAAGAGACACCCGCGGAACGACAAGCCCCCCTATACCGACTTGGCCCTGAACGCTTTGGTGATTCAAGCTGCACCCTCCCGCAGGCTGAGGCTGGCTCAGATCATCCGTCAGGTCCAGGCCGTGTTCCCTTGCCTCGGAAGACTCCCGGGGTTGGAGAGACCCCACCCGCCACGAACTTTCCTCCGCCCCGACCCTTCCAAGGTGCCCAAGGACCCTGCGCAGCCCCAGGCCAGGAGCAACCACTGGGCGTCGACATGAGCCAGGTCCCCAGCCGAGGCGCTACGGCTGCAGAACACGGCCCAGTACAGGCGCCGGCAGAACGAGCGCTCACGCGGAGCCTTCGCCAAGGGCTGGGTCCCTATGTGCTGCGCGGCCGGTCCCCCGCCGCCGCCCAGCGAGGGCTTCAGTATCAAGGCCCTGCTAAGGGTCCCCAGGGAGGGGGCCTCGGGGGGTGGGGTGACTGCCCGGCCAGTGCCAGGGCAGCCAAGCTCCTCCCTGCACAGGGTGCAGTGGGGAGGAGGCAGCACCTGCGCCAGCCCTGCCCTCTCTGGAGGCCTGTGTGGCCGTTCCTCTCCCTCCCCGGCCCACGGGAATGAAGCAGGAGCCTTCCCAAGGGAGAGTCAGGGGCCCCCAACAGTCTCCCCAGAGCCTAGGGCCTGGCCCCTTCACTTACTGCAGGATACCCCAGGCTCCAGGGGGTCGCCCAGCGGAGGACACAGGGCCTCCCCACTCTGGAGGCAGCCGCCCACCTCCTACTTGCCCCTCTGACACCCCACCGACCTTGTGTCCCAGGTGTCCACCTTCAACCAGCCCAGCTTGCTGGGGGGTGGCCCCTGAAACCCAAGGGCCCCCGGGGACGCTCTGGGATCGAGACACCCTCCTCCAGGGGGCGCCACCCAACAAGAGCATCTGCGACCGTGGGTCAGCCACCCTCGGGACTTGGCTGCCCCTACCCCGCGATGGCTGCTCTGCTGGTATGGTCTCTGGGGCTCCCAGGGCAGGGTCTGTCTCTCCCTTGCATCCCCACCAGCTTGTTGATGGGGAACCAAGGATAGGAGGGTGTCTGCAGCCTCGGCAGCCTCAAGACATCAGGCGCCAGCCCTGCTGGAGTCCATTATGCTTATCGGACTGCTCCACAAGCGCGTGTAGCCCAGCTGGGCCTGGCCCTGGCCCTAGCCAGGCATGCCTCTGTCACCCCACCCCCCGAGGCCCTAACCCAGCAGGTCGAGGCTGCAGTGGCCGGGAGCGGCCCCTGCCCTCCAGCCTGGTTGACAGAGTGACTCCAACTCAAAAAAAAAAAAAAAATCAAATTTCGGCTGGGCGCAGTGGCTCATACCTATAATCCCAGCACTTTGGGAAGCAAAGGTAAGAGGACTGAGTCAACAGGTTCAAGACCAGCCTGGGCAACTTGGTGAGACCCCTATCTCTACAACAAATCAAAAAGTTAAGTCAGGCGTGGTGACTTATGCCTGTAACCCCAACACTTTGGGAAGCAGAGGTGAGAGGATTGCCTGAGCCCAGGGATTCGAGACCAGCCCAAGCAACTTGGTGAGACCTCATCTCTACAATAAGTTAAAAAAAAAAAATTTATCTGGGCGTTGTGGCACACACCTGTAGTTCCAGCTATTTAGAAGGCCGAGGCGGAAAGATTGCCTGAGGTCGAGGTTGTGGTGGCTGTGAGTGTACCACTATATACTCCAGCCTGGGTGACAGAGTGAAACTCTGACTCAAAAAAAAAAAATCCAATTTAGCCAGGCATGGTGGCATGCACCTGCTCCAAGCTACTCGGGAGGCTGAGGTGGAAGGATCACCTGAGCTCAGGAGGTGGAGGCTGCAGTGAGCTACGACCATGCCACTGTATTCCAGCCTGGGCAATGGAGTGAGACCCCGACTCAGGAAATAAAAAAATAAAACAAAGAAACTTCCAGCCAGGCTTGGTGGCTCAGCCTGTGATCCCACGCCTTTGGGAGGCTGAGGTGAGTGGATTGCCTGAGCCCGCGGGTTCGAGACCCGCCTGGGCAACTGGGCAAGACCTCATCTCTACAATAAATCAAAAAATCAGCCAGGCGTGGTAGTGTATGACTGTAGTTCTAGCTACTTGGAAGGCTGAGGCGGAAAGATCGCCGGAGCCCGGCAGGTCGAGGCTGCAGTGGCCAGGAGCGGCCACTGCACTCCAGTATGGGTGACAGAGTGAGACTCCAACTCAAAAAAAAAACAAAAAACAAAGAAACTTCCAAGGCCCGTCCTGTGACCTGGAAATTACACTCCAAGGTACCCCCCAGAAAGTAGCCTCCAACTGACCCCTGTGCCCGAGCCCCCAGGGGCCCTCCCAGGATAACGTCCACTCATGTAACTGGGCCCTGCACCGCGGCCGCATGCCGCCCACATTCCCTTGGCCCTGGCTTTTGCCACAAACACGCTTCGGAGCGGCCCAGCCAAGACTGAGCGCGCGCCTCCTAGAACGTCCTCAAGGCTGCCCAAACCCCGCCCACGCCACTCACCTGATAGTCCTTCTGCAGCAGCACCGTGTGGACCAGGCTCTTGTCAAGACACAGGGCCGCCAGCTTCCGGCAGGTGCGCCGGACATTCAGAATCAGGTCCGTGCTGGGGACGTGGACCAGGATGTGCAGGAGGATCTCGTCGGAAAACCCAAGGAGGTGCACACCATCTGCCATCCCAGCCGCCGCAGGGGGCATGTCACCAGAGTTGGCTATGACCTGAAAATAAGGGGATGCCAATTCCCACAGGATCCCCACAGGCAGTCGTCAGCCAAGAGAGAAACTAGGAGAAGCCCTCGCCACAGCCGATGGGAAAAAAGGTGCTTTTACCAAAACTCTTAACTGCACAGCAAATAAATCCATAAGCATCTTCAAAACTGCTTTTTAGATCTGTAAACCAGCATCTCTCTTTAAAAATAAAATATTGCCAGGCTCAGTGGCTCAGCCTGTAATCCCACGCTTTGGGAGGCTGAGGTGAGTGGATTGCCTGAGCCGTGGGTTCGAGACCCGCCTGGGCAGCGAGA